GCGTGTCTGGGAGTCTGCATGCAGACATGGTCCCATATCAATGAAACATAGGCTGTTGTTGTCCAGGTTAGTGTTGTGATTGGCGACATGGGCTGGGCCAGTGTTGCCGTTCTCATGCTTGAAATCTCAGAGACAGAAGGCAATCTTTGAGGCGCGACAATATGCAACAAAAAAGGTCAAAATCCTGCAACAATAAAGGTCAAAACTTTGCAACAAAAAGGTCAAAACTGAGTCCTTTGCAACAACTTTGTGAAGGCCGTTCCAACACTTGCAGCAATGTGTTGTTGCAGACTAGACGCGTGGAGCGGAACCACAGTGCCATGCAAGAACCCGCTGCTTTGCCGTCTCGGATGTGTGTGCGTTAGCGCGCCAGGCACCCATGCGTGCCCTTGATTTCTCTGCTCGCTGCTGTGCCTAGGCCCCGATTGAATGTGTTGTATTATGTCTCCTAACCCCCCTCCCAACCCCGACCATATCTTTCCCTTCCCACATTCTCTCCCACCGTTCCCTTTCGCACCCTCTTCTCCCTCATTCTCTCCACCTCCCTCCCTCCCCCTTTCGTTCGTTTGCCAATCACTGCCTGTATATTGCTGCATGGTATGTGTGGCGCGTGTAACATGTGTGGCATGGGCAACAAATGCACTCCTGCATGTTGCTGCATATGGCATGCAGAGAGGCCACGACATCTACAAGCAATGAAGCACCACATACCCACGACACCAGCAGCAGCAGCAGCAGCGGCGCCGCCAGCAGAAGCATCCCCAGGGGCACACGCATCACAGCACACCCCACAGTGACGAGCACCCGCCCCAGCCGTGCCTCGCACGCACGCCTCCATCTCCACCTTTTCCTTCCTTCCCTGCTCGGCCGCTGTCAACCTCCAAAGGTCTGTGCGCTCCTCCACGCTGCTTCCAGTGACGCATGCAAATGCCACCATTCTTCTTTGCTTTCCTTCACCTGCTCGGGCGCCGTCCACCTGCACAAGGTGTGCTATCCTCGCTCCGCCGCCGCGCCTGCTTCCTCTGATCCATGCAATTGCTGCCACTCACTGCGTTTCAGAAGCCACTGCGTTTGCCATGACGTCAAAATATGGTAAGTGGAGGGCAGCGGGGCATCATGGCCCACTGCCCTCCCTTACAATTTTTTGACGTCCTTATATCCGAGTGAAGCTTGGTCTTGCTGTTGTTACATGGAGATGAAACTCAACTGCCGCCGACTTGAACCCCTGCTTCCTCAACCAATTTGCATCGCGCTCCTGCATCTCTCTGGCCCCTCTGCGTCCCCCTCCTCCTCCATCCTCTATCCTCCTCCTGCATCGCTCCCCTCCGCCCTCCCGTGTCTGCTGCCGTGTGTGGCAGGTGGACGAGTGGTTAGGCACAGTGCTGTGGGAGGGGGCGTCACAATATGGAGACATTTACCGCATGAAGGGCGCCATGCACGTCCAAGGGAGCCCTCTCGTGCACGTCTTTCAGGTACCCGCCTGTGCATCTGTGAATCTATGAATCTGGGTGGGGTGCTGTGGGAGGGGGCGTCACAGTACGGAGACATCTACTGCATGAAGGGGGCCATGCACTTGAGGGGCAGCCCACTGGTGTGCGTCTCTCAGGTACCATCTGTGAATTGGATTTAGGTCTGTGCTGTGCCTCATGCGGCTGCCTGCGGCCATGTCCCACGACGACCTATGGCTCTATGACACGACCGCATGATCCCATCATCCCTTGGTCCCATCATCCCATCACCCATCGCCCCATGGCGCCATGCATGGCAGGCGGTGAGGGAGCTGTATGAGGTGGTGCCAGCGCTGCCATGGCCGCCCGGGAGGAGCGGCCTTAACCGAGTCCTTATCGTCGGTACGTGTGTCCTAATCCATGTGCAGTCCACGTGGTTTGGGTGGTTGCCTATTTGTATCCCACTCCTGCTAGTCACATTCGTTACGCTATGTATTCTGACAGTTATGGTATGTTTCAGGCGCTTGCTGGGATGCTTGCGAATAAGGGGCAAGGCGAGTTGGTATTTGTTCTTCCACTCCAGTCTCATGTTTCTTTTTTTGGTCAAACGTATGCTTCCAGGTAAGTCCCTCACTTCAGCACTGGAACAAGGATTCAAGGCATGTATTGCTCTATGAATATTTGGACACTAGTGCACATAGCAATCATCTAGGAAGTGGTGGGAAGCTTAAGAGATTGTCTATGTATAAGCGCGTCGTAATACGGTAGTTGCTACCTATGTTTTAGAACGGAAGTTATGGACACTTGTAATTCCCACTAATTGCAATTCATCATATTTGTAACCGATGGAATGGTGTACGACATCTCTTCGGTACTATCCGAGCACGATTTTGTCCTTATCGTCCCTCAGCTGACCAAACCGCCCACGCTACTCGCATTGCGGAGCTAGCATTCGACTTATTCCGCGGGAAACCACCATTTATATGCGCCCGCTCGCAACGGACCCGTAATAATGGTCCGCCTCGTAGGCCGCACGTCCCCGCGTACCGCTCTGTCGCAACCATTGCCATTGCAATCGTGACATTAGGTTTTACCTGTCATAGAGTCAGATTAGAGTTGTTTCTGTTCGTTTCGCAAATTACTCTGATTGGTCGTCGTCTGGCCGGCCGTCCTGGCGCCGGCAGCCATGGAGCGCGGCCCGCGGCCGGCGCGGCCCATTCTGTCGAGGGAGCCGTCGCGCCGGCAGCAGCGCAGCCGCAAGGTGCCCGAGCCGCTGCGGCGTGCGATCGCGGAGTGCACGCAGCCGCATGCGGCGCCGCTGGAAACGGCGGCTTGCCACCCCGTCCGCACGCTGGAGGTGAGGCGCGCGCGCGGAGGAGGCGGGCCGGGAGGGGGGAAAGGGGGAAAGGGGGCGAAGGGTTGGGTGAGAGGGGGGTGGGGGAGGGGGGAAGGAGGGGGGGAGGAGCGGGGGCAGAAGGGTAGGGAAGGAAGACTTGAAGAGGAATGGGTGGAGGAAAGTGGGGGAATGTTGTTAGGAGGGAAAGGGTGGTGGGATGGGTGGTGGGTGGGGTGGGGGGGAGGGTAGCACCAGGAATGTTGACGATCAACCTCGTAAAAAGCGCAGGGGGTCGGCGGGATGCGCGCGTATGTGGGGCGGGGCCATGGCGCGCGAAGTGTCGCGCGCCTGTGGGTGAGGAGCTGCATGCAAGTGAGGGCGCGCGGACAGGGGGGGTGAGGGCGCGGGTAGGTTTTCGCAGCAACGGGGCAATGCGCGCAACACGGGCAGCATACATGCGTGGCGGAGGCTGCGCGGAGAGGGGGGGGGTTTCCGCGGGCTGGCTGCGCGGATGGAAATAGGGCGGGTTTGCGCGTGCGCGGAGACGTTGCGCGGCGAAGCAGGCGTGTGGGCTGGGCGCGCATGGCGCAAAGGGAGGGAGGGAGGTATACCGAAGCCGCTTGTGGGTGGAGAGTTGGGTGGTGGAAGGCGCAATATGCCCCATCCCCATGCACCTCTTTGCGCCTGGGCCATCTCAACCAACTCCGCTACCGTGCATGTCCATGCTCTGCTTCTCTTCCTCCCTTCACCTCTCAACTGATCTGTTCTTCCTCTTCTTACCCCTCCCCTCCCTCCCTCCCTCCCTCCTCCCTCCCTCCCTCCCTCCCTCCCTCCCTCCCTCCCTCCCGCCTCCTTCTGCTGTCACTTGACCCCGTTGCAATCTCTCTTCCCATTCCCCTTACCAACCACCCCCTTGTTTACCCCTCCCTCGCTTTATTTCCCCCTTCCACCCCTCCCGCATCACCCCCACTCCCCCCCCCCCCCCTGTTTTGCCCGATTTCCGCATACTACGACTCCCTCCGTTCTCCCATCCCTTCCTTCCCCCCTCCTCCCTTTCGCGCCTCCCCACCATCACCCGCATTCCTTCCCTCCCTCCCCTTCCCCACGGTTACCCTCTTTCCATAAACTCTCCTCTTCCTCTCCTGCCCACCGCTGTCCCTGCCCTTTGCCCTCCGCCCCCCTCCCTCCGCGTGTCTCCCCCTGCGTCCTGCGCTCTGCCACCCCCGCACGTGCCCTTCCCCTTACTCGTGTCCCCCCCCCCAGGACTACCTGGGCGATGCGGCGACAGTGGACATGGCGTACAACGCGCTGCTGGACCATGCCATGGTCGAGAAGGGGCGCAGGTGAGCGGGGAGGGCGGGGGACGCGCCGGGGGGGCGGGGGTAGGTGCGGGGGATGCAGGTGGAGGGTGGGGGGCGGGGCTTGGGGGCAGAAGGAAGGGGGGTAGGGTGGAGGGGGTAGGGAACCGGGGTCAAGGGGAAAGGGGAAATAGGGAAGGGGGAGTGTGCAGGGGCAGCAGGCAGGCATGGCACAAGGTGAAGCTGTCATACCGTACCATAACAATACCATACCACACCATACTATACCACACAGACCATACCATACCACACCATACCAACCATGCCATACCATACCATACCATACCATACCATACCATACCATACCATACCATACCACACCACACCACACCACACCACACCACACCACACCACACCACACCACACCACACCACACCACACCATACCACACCATACCACACCATACCACCATACCACACCATACCATACCACACCATACCATACCACACCAGAGACCATACCATACCACACCATACCATACCATACCACACCATACCACACACACCATACCATACCATACCATACCATACCACACCCACACCACACACCACACCACACATACCAGATACCACACCATACCACACCATACCACCATACCACACCAGACCATACCATACCATACCATACCATACCATACCATACCATACCATACCATACCATACCATACCATAAACCATACCATACCATACATAATACCATACCATACCATACCATACACACACCATACCACACCATACCACAACCATACCACACCATACCACACCACACCACACCACACCACACCACACCACACCATACCATACCATACCAACCATACCACACCACAACCACACCACACCACACCACACCACATCACATCCACCACACCACACCACACCACACCACAACCACACCATACCTCACCACACCACACACACCACACCACACCATACCATACCATACCATACCATACCATACCATACCACACCATACCACACCATAACCACACCATACCACACCATACCACACCATACCACACCATAACCACAACATACCAACCACCATACCACACCATACCATACCATACCATACCATACCATACCATACCATACCATACCATACCATACCATACCATACCATACCATACCACACCACACCACACCCACCACACAACACCACACCACCACACCACACCACACCACAGCACACCATTCCATACCATACCATACCATACCATACCATACCACACCACACACACCATACCATACCATACCATACCATACCATACCATACCATACCATACCATACCATACCATACCACACCATACCACACCATACCACACCATACCACACCATACCACACCATACACACATACCACATACCATACCATACCACACCATACCACACCATATCACACCATATCACACCATATCACACCATATCACACCATATCACACCATATATCACATCGTATATCACACCAGACCACGCCACACTGCACATACCTGCAGTCCTCCGTTGAAATTCAATCCCTGACAGGATCAGCAGCAAGTTGCAACGTACGGTTTCCGTGCCAGGTCAACGGCTTTGCTGCACCTCTGCCTGCCCGCCAGGCCCCCTGCTCTCTCTCCCGCTCCCCACACCACTGCTTTTTGTGCGCCTGTGCCATGTGCCTCTGCTGCTGCGCGAAACCACTACACCTGCACCATCCCAAACCAATCTGCATCCTGTGTGTGTGTGTGTGCCCCGTGTGCCGTGTGTTGGCCATGCTGCATGCAGTCCCCATGTGATCATGAAGGTTGTGGCTCTGCTCAAGAAGTACCTCTTCCGGTACCACTCTCCCATCCCTCACCCACTCCTCACCCACTCCTCACCCACTCCTCACCCACCCCTCACCCACCCCCCGCCCCTCACCCACCCCCCGCCGACCGTTCACCCACCGCTCCTCCCTATCTTGATTTTTCGTCGTTTCGTCGTTCTCCACTTGTGCACTCCTCTTTTTTCGCTTTCCCTCGCACGCATGCACACCGTCAACACATATCGCGTGCATGTACTTGTCTGTCTCTTCCCTCCCGTTCTTCCTCCCTCCCTTCTCCCCCTCCCAAACCTGCAAAACCCCCTACTCCCTTCCCTCCCACTGCTAACCCACCCACCTCTCCCTCCTCCGCAACCCCCCATGCTCCCTTCGCGTCCCCCTTCCCCCCCACCCCTGCAGCTACGGCCCAGCAATATCGACGTTGGAGCACATAGACGGCTTCTGTGCGGACGTGATAGCGGAGCTCAAGGCAGCGCAAGCGGCCCGCCACCGCCTCGGCAACGCTGCCGCTGCTGCCGCCGGCGCCGACGGCCCAACAGCCGAGTCGGGCCCCGCACTGATCAAATCCCTGCTCTACGTCCGCGCCGTCGTTGCTAGAAACCTCCCCGCGCACCTCATGCGGTCGGCACGGGCGGCCGATGCGGGGATGAGCGGGGGGGGAGCGGGGGGAGGGGGGTTAGGGTAGGGGGAGCGGCGGGTGTGGGGGGGCCGAGGACCCCGTCGCGAGTGGCGCCGCTGGCGGTGGATGGGGGGGGCGCGGTGGGGGTGGGGGGCGGGGCGAGCGCGGCGCTGAAGCGGGCGAGTGCGGCGGATCGGGAGGCGGCGCAGGCGACGGCGATGGCGATGGCGCGGCTGATTCCGGGCAGGAGGGGGGCGTGGCGGCGGGGCAGTATGCGCCCATGGACATGCTGAGAGTGCGGTGGATCAGCAGGAGTAGGGGGTGGGCTCCCTCGGCAATCGCCAGCTATGTGTGCGTGAGAGGTTGGACGAACGGGGGGGGTGGGGGGGGTGGGGGGGATAGGAGTGGGAGGGGAAGTGTTGGTGGGGAGGGGTAGCGGAGTCGGTGGATGGAAGCGAGAAATGGGTTGGGCTGGGGGTTGGGCTGAGGATCGGGTGGGCGGGGTGAAGAGTGGGTGGGTGGGCGATTGTGCGTCAATGAACATGCATGCAGGGGATTTGGCGCTTGTACCACACACACAGCAGTTCAGCACCCATGCCCCATTCCTGCATCCTTCCCCTTCCTTTGTCCGTCCCCCCATCCTCCCATCACGTTGTCTCGCTCGTGCACACTCCCACGCTCATCTTGCCTCCTGCAGTCTCCCGCCCTCCCTCTACCCTGTCACCCCCATACATCCTCACCTCACCCTCCTCCACCCAAACACCCCCCCGCCGCGCTCAACCACACCATCCCCTCCCTCCACCAGAGCATACCCCCCACCACGCGCCCCAAGCGACCTACCCCACCTGGAACCTTTACGCACAGTGGCGGACGGCAGTGCGGCAGCAGTGCTGCTGGGCGTGAACGTGGTGCAGCTGGAGGCGGAGGGCAGCCCCGACCTGCTGCACTTCGATACTGTCACTGGCACTGTGGACCCCGTGCTCGTGCGCAACCACATCCGCCATATCACCATCACCAAGCGCCTTAAAGCCGACCCCACGTGAGTGCGGAGTGTGGGTGGGTGGGTCCACTCATGTGAGGTGCACTGGCCGCTGCCTGCAGCTCCTGTGGGTTCATGCCAGGTGTATGCTGGGCCCCGTATGTGCGCGTGTGCGTGCGTGTGTGTGTGTGTGTGTGCGTGCGTGCGTGTGTACGAGCTGCTGCTGGTGGGACTTTATGTCACGTGGGTGGTGGAGCAACATGCCTAGGCGGAAGTATGTCATAGCTTTTTATTGTCCACCCAAAGGCCACTTCTGAGTCGACTCGACTCTTGAGTCGACACAAACGGTGGAGCAACAAGGAGAGCTCCCATCTTGCTACTTGCTCCGTGTTTGCCCGATGCCATGCTCGCCTCACCCGGGTAACCGTGTTGCTGTGTGTGCGCTCTCTCTCTCTGTGCGTGTGCATGCTGGCAGGGGCGCGGCGGGAGACGGGTTGCAGAGCTCCATGAAGCGCCGCCGCCCGCTCTTCCAATACCGCTACTACAGGTGTGGCAAGGAATGGAATCTGGATGGCTGTCATGGCTGTGAGTTGCTGTTGCAATGGATGTCCTGTCCTGACCAGTGGCGGAAGAGTGGAGTGCCAGCAGTGCCGCGCCTCTTTTGCTCCCCTGCCTCTTTATCCGATTATTTCTATGCTCCATCTTTGTTCTGATACCTCTCCGTTTCCCCCCTTTCCACCACACTACTCTCCCACCCACCCCACTTCTTCCCCCTCGCTCCAAACCCTCAACCCTCCTCCCATCTCGCCTCTCCTTCTTCTGCCCCTTCCCGCTCTGCTATTCTCACATTGTTCCTCACCCCTAAGTCTCATCCCTTGCCCCTGGCCTCTCTGCGTCTCTCAATCTGGCCCCAGTCCCGTTCGTCCGATATCCCCTTCCCCACCCTCCGCCTTCCACCTCCCCCTCCCCATCCCCATTCCCCTTCCCCGACGCCTCCCAACCCCTCTCTTTCCTCCTCCCTCCCCATCCCCCTCCCCTTGCCCCTCCCCATCCCGCTCCCCGTCCCCTTTCCCCCCGCCTCGCGTACCCGCAGCGAGCAGCAGCCTCTACGGCTGAGCGAGGGCGAGATGGAGGAGGTGATGGCAGCCGTGTGCTCCGTGGCGGCCACAGCAGCAGCAGGGGGCGCGGGGGGTGCAGGCGCACATGGGTCGGCGCGCCTCTCGTCCCCCGCTCACCACATGGTGCCGCAGGTGGACGCTGCTGACGTGGCGGCGTCCGTGCTGATCAAGATGCTCATCGACATGTGAGAGGGGGAGATGAGAGCGGGGGAGATGAGAGCGGGGAGATGAGAGCGGGGGAGATGAGAGCGGGGAGATGAGAGCGGGGGAGATGAGAGCGGGGGAGATGAGAGCGGGGGAGATGAGAGCGGGGGAGATGAGAGCGGGGGAGATGAGAGCGGGGGAGATGAGAGCGGGGGAGATGAGAGCGGGGGAGATGAGAGCGGGGGAGATGAGAGCGGGGGAGATGAGAGCGGGGGAGATGAGAGCGGGGGAGATGAGAGCGGGGGAGATGAGAGCGGGGGAGATGAGAGCGGGGGAGATGAGAGCGGGGGAGATGAGAGCGGGGGAGATGAGAGCGGGGGAGATGAGAGCGGGGGAGATGAGAGCGGGGGAGATGAGAGCGGGGGAGATGAGAGCGGGGGAGATGAGAGCGGGGGAGATGAGAGCGGGGGAGATGAGAGCGGGGGAGATGAGAGCGGGGGAGATGAGAGCGGGGAGATGAGAGCGGGGGAGATGAGAGCGGGGGAGATGAGAGCGGGGGAGATGAGAGCGGGGGAGATGAGAGCGGGGGAGATGAGAGCGGGGGAGATGAGAGCGGGGGAGATGAGAGCGGGGGAGATGAGAGCGGGGGGAGATGAGAGCGGGGGAGATGAGAGCGGGGGAGATGAGAGCGGGGGAGATGAGAGCGGGGGAGATGAGAGCGGGGGAGATGAGAGCGGGGGAGATGAGAGCGGGGGAGATGAGAGCGGGGGAGATGAGAGCGGGGGAGATGAGAGCGGGGAGATGAGAGCGGGGGAGATGAGAGCGGGGGAGATGAGAGCGGGGAGATGAGAGCGGGGGAGATGAGAGCGGGGGAGATGAGAGCGGGGGAGATGAGAGCGGGGGAGATGAGAGCGGGGGAGATGAGAGCGGGGGAGATGAGAGCGGGGGAGATGAGAGCGGGGGAGATGAGAGCGGGGGAGATGAGAGCGGGGGAGATGAGAGCGGGGGAGATGAGAGCGGGGGAGATGAGAGCGGGGGAGATGAGAGCGGGGGAGATGAGAGCGGGGGAGATGAGAGCGGGGGAGATGAGAGCGGGGGAGATGAGAGCGGGGGAGATGAGAGCGGGGAGATGAGAGCGGGGGAGATGAGAGCGGGGGAGATGAGAGCGGGGGAGATGAGAGCGGGGGAGATGAGAGCGGGGAGATGAGAGCGGGGGAGATGAGAGCGGGGGAGATGAGAGCGGGGGAGATGAGAGCGGGGGAGATGAGAGCGGGGGAGATGAGAGCGGGGGAGATGAGAGCGGGGGAGATGAGAGCGGGGGAGATGAGAGCGGGGGAGATGAGAGCGGGGGAGATGAGAGCGGGGAGATGAGAGCGGGGGAGATGAGAGCGGGGGAGATGAGAGCGGGGGAGATGAGAGCGGGGGAGATGAGAGCGGGGAGATGAGAGCGGGGGAGATGAGAGCGGGGGAGATGAGAGCGGGGGAGATGAGAGCGGGGGAGATGAGAGCGGGGGAGATGAGAGCGGGGGAGATGAGAGCGGGGGAGATGAGAGCGGGGAGGAGGGACAGTGGTGGGGGTGGGTGGGTGCGGGTGGGGAGGCGCATGAGGGAGGGTGGTGCACCGTCCGTGCTCATCACGATGCTCATTCACTTGTGAGCGTGGGACGGACACAGAGGATCGCAGGGGTTCTTTCAGGCGAGAGCGAGGGGGAGTGGGGAGCGGGGGAGGGGAAGGTGGAGGGGGTGGGCGTGGGGAGGCGCATGGGGCATGGGCACACACGGTTTGGCACCCGGTTTGGCACACAGCACAGAACCTCCTGGTTCTCTCTTGTTGTGGGACCACATGCCTGTGGAGAGCCGTGCTGCACCTGCTGCTCTGCTGTTCCCCTTTCTCTGCGTCACTCCTTTCCCCATATGCGCCCCTCGTGCTTCCCTCAACCTACATGCCTCGCCATTTTGATATCTTCCTGCTGCCATGCCATCCCACCCACCCATATGCTGTGCTGCTGTTTCCCCCGGTGCTCGTGGCATGTGCCCCTGCCCCCACCGTCTTCCCCCACATGCCATGCCACTGCAGGTACCTTGTGGACCCTCGCTCTGCAGCGCCCCTCGCGCTCTCCATGATGCATGTGAGTGCCCATGATGCATGTGAATGCCCATGATGCATGTGAGTGCGCATGATGCATGTGAGTGCCCATGATGCATGCATGTGAGTGCCCATAATGCATGTGAGTGCCCATGATGCATGTGAGTGCCCATGATGCATGTGAGTGCCCATGATGCATGTGAGTGCCCATGATGCATGTGAGTGCCCATGATGCATGCATGTGAGTGCCCATAATGCATGTGAGTGCCCATAATGCATGTGAGTGCCCATGATGCATGTGATGCTCTACCGTTCGTGCCCATCCATGACCTTTCTCACACCGTCTCTTTCAACAAGCAGAGATTCCCGTGAGTGACTGTCTGTCCATGTAACCTCGTGCATTGTCTCCCTTGCTTCTTCTATTCACTTTCAAGAACCGTGCAACTTCTGCTTTCCAAACACCATCCCCCTTTCCCTGCCCCAATTCCGTACCTACCTACCCCGCGTGCGCACCATCCCGCCCCCAGGCGCTTCTCTCGTCCAGCAAGCCAACAGTGCGAGTGCGGGCGTTCGACCTCATGCTCAACCTCGGCGTGCACGCGCACCTGCTGCACCCGCTACCTGTGGAGGACGAGGCGGGGCAGCCCTACTCCTCCGACGCCGATGCCGCCGAGGCGGAGCGAGGAGCCGTGCGCAGGGCGGCAGCAGTGACCATGTTTGAGGAGTGGCTGCTCGGGCTGCTCTGCCACATGGCGCTTTACCTCGTGCAGGTAGGCCCTCACACAAAAACTGGATCGTTCTCAACGGTATCTGAAACAAAAAAGCAAGCGTGTTTCGGGCCAAGGGCATACTGTTGTTGTTTCGGCCCTTCATCCATGGGCAACAGCAGTGCAGCAGTGACCATGTTTGAGGAATGGCTGGCTGCTCAGGCTGCTGTGTGACATGGCTCTTTGCCTTGTGCAGGTGGGTGGGTGGACCGGCTACCCTTGCTGTTCTATGTGCTGCCGGGTCCAAAAATCCTAAACCCTGTGACTCCACGCAACTGTGTCCTTGTGCAGTTGAGGGGCGCTTAAGATACATCTCCTACCTCCTTCTACTGTCGCTGCCCGCAACACAATTACAGAAATCTCTCTCCTTCCACGGTGACCCTGTCGCTCTCCCCCATACCTTCCACTCTTACTCCTTCATTCCCTGCACCCCTCTCTCTCGCTTGCCCGCTTCCCTGTCTCTCGCTCGCCCGCTCCTCTCCCTCTCGCACCTCCGCTCCCGTCTCTCTGACTCGCCCACTCCCTTGCAGGTGGAGGAGAGTGACGAGAGTGTATGGGCAGCAGCACTGAGCTGTGTGCTCTACCTCACGTGCGACCGCGGCAGGACGGTTTTCCACCGCCTCGCCCTCTTGGATGTGCGGGTCAGTGCCACCTCCCTCATTCCTTCCCCCTCCCCCTCTCCTTCCCTCTCCCGCTCCACTCCCCCTCCCCTTCCTCCCGCCCTCTCCCTCCCTCCACCTCCCCCTCCCTGTCCCTCTCGTCCTCATTATCCCGCTGCTCATCTTCATCCTTCTCCGTTGTTTGAATCACGATTGACGATTCTCAGAATTTGCTTTGTGCTTTGGTCCTCCTCCTCCCACTCCCCTCCCCTCCCCTCCCCTTCCTCCTATCACATGCAACCACCTTCTGCTGAACATTTTTTCTCTCTCTTTTCCGAGCTGTTGAAATCCTTCCATCCACGCCTGTATCCCCCTCCCTTCATTTCTCCCTCCCTCTCTCCTCCGTCTTACACTCCCTCTCTCCTCCCTCCTTTCCCTCTCCCGCCCGCCCGCCACCCCACAGGTGCTAGCATCGCTATTGGAGATCAGCATAGTGCACGGGTGGGCGCAGGCAGTCCACACGCACCTCGTGCGCATGCTCGCCTGCCTGCTCTACGCAGCACCGCACCACACCGCACAGCACCCACCAGGGCGCGGATTTGAGGCAGCACGGGACGGGTTGCGCTTGGACTTGAAGCAGCTGGAGCGTGTGGGGGGCATCTCCTTCATTTGCTGCCACGTGAGTCACCTCTGCTTCGCCTTCACTTGTGCATTTTCCTCTTTCCCTCCACCCTTTCATCTCTTTCCCTCCGCCCTTCCCACTCTTGCCCTCTGCCCTTTCCTCTTGCTGTCCGCACAAGCTCTTTAGTTCACAAGGCACGCGCCCCTCTCCCGTTTCCCCCTCGTTCCGCCCTTCCCCCTCGTTCCGCCCTTCCCCCTCGTTCCGCCCTTCCCCACTTTCCCCACCCTCATCCTCACTCCCACCTCCCTCATCCTCTCTCCTTACACCACACCGTATCTCCCATCTCGTCTTCCCCACCTTCCCCCCACCCCACCCCGACTCCCTCCCTCCTCCCTCCTCGCAACTCCACCCCCCGGGCCTCACAGTACGCGGCATCACAGGAGGTGGAGGCTCGGCGCAACCTGTTTGCAGTGGTGATGGACTATGTGGCACTGCTGTGCCGCCTGCACGCACACCCACACCACCCCGACAACCCTCCTCCCTCCGTACGTGTGTGCGCGTCTGCATGCATGTGCATGGCAGCACCAGCACCAGCACCAGCACCAGCCCATGAGTGAAAGATCCTTTCACCATAACAATTGTCCCGGCGTTCATCCACAGTCCAGGGTGCACGGTCCATGGTGCACAGTGCACGGTGCACCTCTGCCCCTCCTCTGCATGCTCCCATTCACCGGCTCGGCCTTCCTGCCCAGCCTCTCACCAGTGTTGTGCATCGCTACCGCTGCCGTGCATGCACCTGCCGTGCATGCACCTGCCGTGCATGCACCTGCCGTGCATGCACCTGCCGTGCATGCGCCTGCCGTGCATGCGCCTGCCGTGCATGCGCCTGCCGTGCATGCGCCTGCCGTGCATGCGCCTGCCGTGCATGCGCCTGCCGTGCATGCGCCTGCCGTGCATGCGCCTGCCGTGCATGCGCCTGCCGTGCATGCGCCTGCCGTGCATGCGCCTGCCGTGCATGCGCCTGCCGTGCATGCGCCTGCCGTGCATGCGCCTGCCGTGCATGCGCCTGCCGTGCATGCGCCTGCCGTGCATGCGCCTGCCGTGCATGCGCCTGCCGTGCATGCGCCTGCCGTGCATGCGCCTGCCGTGCATGCGCCTGCCGTGCATGCGCCTGCCGTGCATGCGCCTGCCGTGCATGCGCCTGCCGTGCATGCGCCTGCCGTGCATGCGCCTGCCGTGCATGCGCCTGCCGTGCATGCGCCTGCCGTGCATGCGCCTGCCGTGCATGCGCCTGCCGTGCATGCGCCTGCCGTGCATGCGCCTGCCGTGCATGCGCCTGCCGTGCATGCGCCTGCCGTGCATGCGCCTGCCGTGCATGCGCCTGCCGTGCATGCGCCTGCCGTGCATGCGCCTGCCGTGCATGCGCCTGCCGTGCATGCGCCTGCCGTGCATGCGCCTGCCGTGCATGCGCCTGCCGTGCATGCGCCTGCCGTGCATGCGCCTGCCGTGCATGCGCCTGCCGTGCATGCGCCTGCCGTGCATGCGCCTGCCGTGCATGCGCCTGCCGTGCATGCGCCTGCCGTGCATGCGCCTGCCGTGCATGCGCCTGCCGTGCATGCGCCTGCCGTGCATGCGCCTGCCGTGCATGCGCCTGCCGTGCATGCGCCTGCCGTGCATGCGCCTGCCGTGCATGCGCCTGCCGTGCATGCGCCTGCCGTGCATGCGCCTGCCGTGCATGCGCCTGCCGTGCATGCGCCTGCCGTGCATGCGCCTGCCGTGCATGCGCCTGCCGTGCATGCGCCTGCCGTGCATGCGCCTGCCGTGCATGCGCCTGCCGTGCATGCGCCTGCCGTGCATGCGCCTGCCGTGCATGCGCCTGCCGTGCATGCGCCTGCCGTGCATGCGCCTGCCGTGCATGCGCCTGCCGTGCATGCGCCTGCCGTGCATGCGCCTGCCGTGCATGCGCCTGCCGTGCATGCGCCTGCCGTGCATGCGCCTGCCGTGCATGCGCCTGCCGTGCATGCGCCTGCCGTGCATGCGCCTGCCGTGCATGCGCCTGCCGTGCATGCGCCTGCCGTGCATGCGCCTGCCGTGCATGCGCCTGCCGTGCATGCGCCTGCCGTGCATGCGCCTGCCGTGCATGCGCCTGCCGTGCATGCGCCTGCCGTGCATGCGCCTGCCGTGCATGCGCCTGCCGTGCATGCGCCTGCCGTGCATGCGCCTGCCGTGCATGCGCCTGCCGTGCATGCGCCTGCCGTGCATGCGCCTGCCGTGCATGCGCCTGCCGTGCATGCGCCTGCCGTGCATGCGCCTGCCGTGCATGCACCTGCCGTGCATGCGCCTGCCGTGCATGCGCCTGCCGTCCATGCACCTGCCGTGCATGCACCTGCCGTCCATGCACCTGCCGTGCATGCACCTGCCGTGCATGCACCTGCCGTGCATGCACCTGCCGTGCATGCACCTGCCGTCCATGCACCTGCCGTGCATGCACCTGCCGTCCATGCACCTGCCGTGCATGCACCTGCCGTGCATGCACCTGCCGTGCATGCACCTGCCGTCCATGCACCTGCCGTGCATGCACATGGCGCCCCTCATCGCTGTTCACATGCCAGGCTATGCACACCACCATCCACCCCTGCCACTACTCCACCACGTCCACCATTCGCCATTCCCACACACCCTCACCTATGTCCTTTCCCGCATCCCTCCTCGCCCTCCCTCCTCCCTTCCTCCCTCCTTCCCCCTTTCCCATTCAACCCTCCCCTTCCACCTCTCCCCTTCTGCCCTCGCCCTCCCCCTCCCCCTCCCCCCCTCCCTCTTCCCCTGCCCTCCCTCTTTCCTCCTTTCCTCTCCTCCTCCCCTTCCCCCTCTCCCCTTCCCCCTCTTCCCCGTTCCCCCTGTCCCCCTCTTCCCCCTTCCCCAGGAGGCGGAGCTAGCAGCAGTGGTAGCAGCACTGGTAGCAGCGGGGGCGCCGGAGGCGCTGGTGGTGGCGCTCAAGGCGCCCTCGCCCCCTGCAGGCCCTATCGGCGCTGCCCTCGCGCGCACCATCGCTGCCCCCCTCCCCCCCGACACCTCCGCTGCCGGCTTCTCCCTGCAGGTGCGCGCAGCGGGGCGCAGGGAAGGGGAGAGGGGCACAGGGGGGCGCAGGGATGGGGGGAGGGGCAGGGCACAGGGGGGTGCAGGGAAGCGAGGAGGGCGTAGGGGGGCGCAGGGAGACAAGGGGCAGACATGGGGGTGGTTGGGTTGGGGAAGAGGGGGGCCCTGGGGGTCGCACGTAGGGATGCATGCAGTGGGGGGTGCAATAGTGTGATGAGGATTTGAGGGCAGCGCCTCATGCGCTCACATCGCATGCTGCCATCTGCTGCCTTGCCTTTCCTTGCGTTGCCTTGCGTCGCTGCCAGCTGTATGCCCTGTTGTGTGTGCAACCCAAGCGCGGCTGCGTAGCCAGCCACGCCACACTCACCATACCGTACAACCCGTAGCACGTCCGCATCCTTTATCCGTTCCCCTCCTACTCACATCGTGCATCGTTCCTGGTTCCACTCACTCGCTTCCTCCAGCCACCTCATCCTTTCACCGTGTCTCCCCCACGAATCAACCCCTGCACCCGCCCACCGCCACCCCACCTGCCCAGCAGGCCCTGCGCCTAGTGACACACACACACAGGGCGACCTTGGACATGCCACAAAGCCCCCTCGCCTCCATACCCACCCCACCCCCCACCAGGCCCCACCAGGCCCCACCAGGCCCCACCAGGCCCCACCAGGCTCCACCAGGCCCACCTGGCGTGTGACGGGCACACTGGCTGGCCTCGTATCAGCACCTCATAACAGCACCTCATATCAGCGCCTCATGTCAGCGCAGCGGCTCCTGCTTTTATCATCGTTGAATTGAGAACACAAGCGCTCCTGACTTATCCCCGTCCCCTCTCCCTGTCCACCCCCGCCCCTCACACCAGGCCCTGCCCCCCACCGTTCCCTGAAGTGTTACAAGAACTCCTAATCCACCACAAACCCCCCACACCATCTCCCGCCCCCCACCAGGCGCTGCACCTAGTGACAGACACACTGGACGACCTGATATCAGCGCACCTGCGCCTACCCCCTGAATTCACCGCCATGCTGCAATGCACCCTCGCCAGCGACGGCCCTCCTCCCGACCCCCCCCCCTCCTCCACCGCTGCTGCTGCCGCTGCTGGGGCGCCTGCGGATGAGGCGGAGGTGGGGAGGGAGCGGCGCGCGTGGGGCACGCTGCGCGCGCTGCTGCACTCGCAGCGGGCAGTGGACCGGCGCAATGGGCTCACGTGGCTGCTGCACCTGCTGCTGCAGCAGCTGCCCAACCTCGCTCCCTACCAGCAGCCCCTGCTCTCAGACCCACAGGACGGGCAGCAGCAGCAGCACGCGCAGGCGCAGCAGCACAAGGGGGGACGGGGTGGGCCGCTTATGGTTTTATACCGGCAGTTGGCTCAGCTTGAGCAAGGGGAGGCGGGGGAGGAGGGGGGGGGTGGGGGCGGCATGGGGATGGGCATGGGGGGAGGGGCAGGCGGTGGGGGGGGAGGAGGGGGAGGGCGGAGGGCGGGCGTATCAGGCGCGGTCCAGCTGATGCTGGAGCTAGTGCGATCAGACAACACGGCCGTGCGGCGAGGGTTTGTGACGGTACTAGAGCAGCTGCTGCTGCTACACGCCGCAGAGACCGAGCAGGAGTCGAGAGAAAGCCGCGGCGCGGCACACGCCGCTGCAGCAGCGGCAGCAGAAGCTCCCGAGGGGCCCATGGGAATGGAGGAGCGGCGGGCAGCGGACGAAGCCGCAGCGTCCGCGACTGCAGTTCAGCACCAAGGCGCACAGGACCTACTAGCCGTAATGAGCAGTGCGCTGTGGCAAGTAATGTCGTGTAACGACAGCGACCGAGTGAACATCCTCCAGATGTGCTCCGTGATGCTCTGGCAGCTCTGCGTGCCCCGCTTCCTCCCCACTGCCCAAGTCGTAGAGCCCGGCAGCCCTGTCCCCAGCCCAGGAGGCAGCAGTTGGCTGGTAAACCCGCGAGTGGCAGCAGTAGCGGGAGGGGAAGGTGGCGGTGCGATGAGCCCTCCGTATGCGGCCGAAGAGAGCGAATCCATGGCTCGGCTCTTCCTGCTGCGCAGGGCAGCAGCAGCGAGGGAGCTGCTAGCAGCGCTGCCGACGGCGCTGCTGTACTGGCCGCTGATGCAGCTGGCGCCCAGTGCGGGGGATCCCATAGCGCTGGCCACGGCGGTGGGGAGTCACGGGATTGTGGGTGCGGGAGGCGCGGTGGACGTGCGAGTGGCGCTGCTGCTGTTGCTCATTGGCAAGTGCAGTGATAGCAGTGAGGCGCTGGAGGAGGTTGGAGGAGATGCCTTCTTCCGGTGAGTGCTGCTGCGCTGGGGGGTGCTGGGAGGTGCTGGGAGGTGCTGGGAGGTGCTGGGAGGTGCTGGGAGGTGCTGGGAGGTGCTGGGAGGTGCTGGCCGCTGCTGGGCTGTGCTGGTGAGTATTTCGTGCCCCCCTGTGCTGCACCTTGTGGATTCAACTTGCTGCAAGCTCTCTCATCTTGTAGCTTCGTACCTAGCTGTTACCCGCTCTCACACACACGCACATGCATGCCCACCCGGGTACGCACCCGCACCGGCACACAGAAGCACAGGCGCACATGCAGTCCCTGGCAAGAGTCTCAGTTCTGAGTGCTTGCACAACCATGTCCGACCCCGTTGTTTGTTCCTCCACGCCACCCGCCATGCCCTCAGCTCGCTGCTTGATGATCCCGATGCCCGCATTGCCTATTGGAGTGCTGCCTTCCTCGTCAAGGTACCTCTCAGTCACGCTCTCTCACACTCTCTCATACTCTCCCACGCTCTCCCACTCTCTCCCACGCTCTCCCACCCTCTCTCACGCTCTCCCACGCTCTCTCACGCTCTCCCACCCTCTCTCACGCTCTCCCACTCTCCTCACGCTCTATTACCAACCCTCATCCTCCCCCGCCCTCTTCCACCCTCTCCCAACCTCTCTCCCAACCCAACCTCGTTTCGCATCACTGTCCGCTCTGTCCCAAACAACCCCATCCCCCACTCCTAAGCATCCCTCATTCTCTTCCCCCCCTCTTTCCTTCTTCTCCCCTACAACTTTCTGTCACAGCCACTTCACACCAACCAACCCTGCCACTTCCTCTTGTCCCTCTGCGCAACCTGATGTGTATCGGCACACCCTTTGAGTCGACTCAAAAATCACTTCACTCCCCCCAACTCCACTCCCTCTTGCCCATCTGCGCCAGCGCATGATGTCTCAGCAACCTGATGTGTACCGCCGCGCCCTGCACCGTCTTATTTTCACAGCGCAGCAGGTGCGTGCTCATCTTTCACAGCACAGCAGGTGCTCTCTGGTTTTGCACACACCGTTCGCTCTCTTCCTTTCACTGCCTGTTTCCTGCCACTCTAACCCTCTGACACACTCACCTGTGTCTTTCACCCATCTCTTCCCCGCTTCCCTCTCCCCGTTGTCCGTGATTGCTCAGACCAACAACGAGAAGCTGCTAGAGAATCCGTACCTGCAGATGCGAGGCATATTGCAAGACACCCCCGATGCACTGCACCTCACCTCCTGATCGCCATTTGCACCTCACCTCACCTCCTGGTCGCATCGTGCACTTCAGCTGCAAACCTCCATCCTGCCTTGCCTCAGTAATACCGTACTCCTAACGCGGGCAGCGTTACCATTCGGGTTTGTCCATGCGTGCTCTCTCCTTACGAACCGATTATAACACTTGGATTGGATTGTTCCTCCTGCACCGTTGCATTGCATGGGAGAAGAAAGCATTCAGTGCAGCAAGCTCCTCAGTGAAGTGCTAGCACATTGATGCAGAGGTTGCACATTAAACAGATGGCTAGAGTGACAACTGCTTGCACATCATTTTACTAGTCTAAAAAAGGGCTGTGTGCGCTCCTTTAAACCCTAGACTACAACTTTTGTAACCAGAGCCTCAGCTAGGATACCTCACCTTGTAGGCTCAGCATTCCACTAGGGTCCCTCACCGCCATATCTTGCCTAGGACTTCATTTGTACAAGTCAGGGAGTTGTGGTACCGTAATCACATATTGATTATTTGATTCCGCATCCTTTTGTACAACTCATACGATAAGAAGCCCAGCCGGGAGGGCATGGGAGATGGGAAACTAGGGTTCCGGGCTCACAGGGGGGATCCCAGCAACAGCACAAAACATCACTCCCAAGTACCGCAGTACCGTAGTACTGCTGTGAGCCCCCCCATGTACCGGTAGCAATTCATCATGGTTCACAGCACAAGCTGGTGCACCGGACTGTTTAATCAGTCCGGGTGCAGTAGTGAGTGACTGGTCAACCGGGCAGGGAGGGAAGCTGGAATACTGTCTCTGCAGTCTTGACTGCTCTTCAACCCTCGGTAACTCCCTATGTCCACATCCCGCCCCACTAGCTCAGATCTATCCATCTTGGATCCATCCTCCTTTGCACTCGCCCGCAGCTTCAGTATGGTCTGTACCCGATCAGCATCCGCTCGTTGCTGCTACCTTTTATGTAATACGACTTGTACCATTCCACAAACTTTTGTAACCCAGCATCTAGGTCTGTAGACGGACTGTAACCTAGCTCGGTCTCCGCGCGTGTGACATTTGCGTGTGTAAACAGCACCTCGCCGCTGCTGGGCATGGGAACCACATCCCTAATCGCGCGCGTCTCAAGGTGCTTCTCCAGGAGCTTGACGAAATCCGTCACCTTAACCGGCTGAGTGTTCCCGAGGTTGAACACTCGGAACTGCGCGCGGCGCTTCTTCCCTTGCGTGCCCACGCCCACGCTGGGCGTGGCAGTATCTAGGGCGGCCACGCACCCTTTCACCACGTCGTCGATGAACGTAAAATCGCGCGCCAGCTCTTGCCCGTTGGGCCCGCGGAAGATCTTAATCGGCTTCCCTTCCGCGATGTTCCGCGTGAAGGAAAAGTACGCCATGTCGGGCCGGCCCCACGGGCCGTAAACAGTGAAGAAGCGTAGCGCGGTGACGGAGAGGCCGTAGATGTGGTTGTACGTGTGCCCGAGCATCTCATCTGCTTTCTTCGTCGCCGCGTATAAGCTCGCCGGCCGATCCGTTCGGTCGCTTTCCGAGAACGGGACCTTTTTATTTAGACCGTAGACGCTGCTCGAGGAGGCGTAAACGATGGCGGGCTGATGATCCGCCTTTCGTACGGCTTCGAGCAGATTAACAAAGCCCAGGACGTTGCTGTGGACGAACGCCAGCGGGTTGTGCACGGCGTATCGCACGCCGGCTTGCGCGGCGAGGTGGAGCACGTGCGTGAACCGTACGATCTCGAAGAGCTTGGAGACGAGCTGCTGATCGTTGATGTCGCCTTCCACGACGAAGACTCCGTTGGAGAGCAGCCGCTCCTCTCTGGCGCGCTTCAGCGCCACGGGATAGTAGTCGTTGAAGTTATCCAGACCGATTACGCCGTCGCCTCGCTCTTTAAGAGCCAGCGACGTGTGCGAGCCCACGAATCCAGCGGCGCCCGTTACAAGCACCACCATGCCGCCCTCGCGCGGAACGGCGGAGAGTCGGATGCGGTCCTCCCATTCGTCCCCGCCCCATGTGGCGCCTTGCGTGCCTGTGGCGAGCGACGTTGCTGGGACTGATGCGTGCGATGCTCCTCGAGTAGACATCCCGACGACCATGACTATTAGAAAGACGGTGCAGCAGAGGCACTGAACGAAGGTCATGCTGCGAGCCATTTGCTGCACGAATGAACTGCTTCTAAGCTTCTCTAAGTCTTCTAAACTCGACGGGAACTTGGTCGATGAGATGTTCGTAGGAAGCCATTTTGCGGCCATGGCGATCGTCCACTGCGGAGCAACGCGTTTTCAGTTCCAAGTGCCCTTCTTGCCCTGCGATATGCTATTACTACGGTTGCTAGGAAGTGAGATAATGATGTACAGAATTTGGGTGAAGTCCCTTGTGCAATAGATTTGTGGAATAGGTTTGGTTGGCTCACAGAGCACAGGCGGTCTTGCTTTTGTTCTCAGCTCGTCGCACCGTCACTGCCTGTTGGTTGTGGGGGGGAAAGGAGGGCCACGTTCCTTCCCGAGCCTCGTGGGCAGGTGCGGCTGACGGTGAACTCCCCTAGTCCCTCACTTGAAACTTGCGCTTCGGCGGCGCTTCTGCTCCGTCAAACCTAAGCTTCGTCCGATAGCTACGTTGTGGATGTTTTGTCGCATATGGCAGTCACGCGGTATGTATGCTATGCACTGTGCCTAATTCTTCACGAGAGGTTTCAGTACGGTATTGTAAAACAAAACAAACATGCAGCGCGCTATAGTACGGTATAGTGACTGGCTGACGGTCCCCCTTCATTCACCTGGGCAGCTTCACCTACAGTACTGGCGGCTCGCCGCAGGCACCGAACCGAACATGGTCTGCTTGGGGTTTGGTCTGGTGGCGGCCAAAGGGCCATTCTTCCAAACACTTGATGGCCGCAGTGGGAGAATCGAATGTCGGAAGACACCCCATGAGTCCTGACCTGTTGTACCACCTCCCGACCCTTCAAGCTCTCCCTGTTTTGCAGATTTTGAACACCCCTTTCGCAGCTCACGAGGTGCCTTGCATTTTTTCTAATCGTTGAACGAAGTACCTCATTTCAAATATATTCGTATTGATGGGTGTAATTATTTTGAGGGGAAACTTTGAAATGAAGCGAACAATGCCACGGCCCGTGCCAGCAAGTGAAATCCGTAGGCTCACCGCCATCCGCAGTCACCACCTAAGAACACCTGCTAACCTGAATATCTCTAAATTGACGCGGAGCGACGAACTGTTACGCACTCATAAAGAATAGAAATACTACATGCGTTATATATATTCGTTAGTTGTGTGATAACTCCTAATGCCCAAAACACAACGGGGATGTGGAGAAGCGGCATTCTTACACTCTAGTTCAAGGACGCCATCCCTCGAGCCTGTCACACAAGACGCAAGTACAAGATCGTAGGATCTCAACACCAAGCAACCTGCTGTCTTGCGAAGTGTATCTAACCTGACCGCTCTGCCGTAAATTGCTTGATCCGTTCTCGAATGCGGTCGAGCAGAATAAACCGCGCCTTTTGGCGTTGCTTAAAGCGGTACCACCCGTCGCGCATGATCCTCGCACCATCCACTTCCGGGCACGGATAATACCACAGCCGAATGGACAGCCCACACGAATACAGGACAGACATGCGCATGGGCCTCGTCTTTGCCTCACTGCCGGTTTCCCTCTGGCAGCCACACTCGCCTGTGTCGGCAAGCTGCGGGGTGAAGTCTGGATAGAAGAGCTGGAGTAGGCCCAGCTTGTGTGTGAGCTCCAGAAAGGTGTATTGGTCGCCCGTACCACAGATGCGGTTGATGGCTTCTAGCTTGTTCCTCCTGCCGAATCCCATACCTGAAGGAGGTGGAACAGGAGGAACCACGCAGGAGATAATTGGGCAAGGAAGTGATTCTTCATGATTCCGTGCATAAAGGAGGTGGCGCCATTCCACAGACATCGCAGAAATATTGCAATGGAAAAGGCAAGAGACGGATGGCCCAGATGCATGTAACACGAGCTGTAGGCAAAGACAGCTATAGTAACATACACACCCAAGACTTGCACAACAAGGGACGTGCGAGTGAGGAAGAGAAGGATCAGCACAGGGGGATGGCACACAAGCAAGAAAAAAGCACACGTGAGGAGCACGGCACCTGGTTGGTAGCGGTGTGGGGAGTCGTTGCGGAAGCCAATCATGCCCTCCTGCAGCGTTGGTGCGTGGGGGAAGAGGTCACTGTACAACGTGCTGCCGTTGATCCACTCGGGACTCTGTGGACCGTCGATCTTCACCACTGGGATCTGCCGAGGTGGGTGCGGCCATGGGGGAAGAGGGGGCAGGCTTGCTAAAAACAGGGGTTTTCATGGAAGATTGGCTCATACTGCCAGCGACAGCAGCAGGAGGGAGCACGCAGGAGACGTACATCAGAGCAGATAGCAGGGAAGGGATCACTGCAACAGCATCATAGACAATGAGCAGTGTGCGCACATCAAGTGTGCACGCAGCACGCCCCATACGCTCGTCTCCCTGCCGTGGTCCGCACCGCACGCACCTTGAAGGCAGTCTTGCCGTGGGCCTCATGGCGGTCGGCCGCAGCAGCGAGGTACGTCCACACCTCGCGAGTGAGGAAGTGGTTGCCGTCCAGAGGCAGGATCCACCGCGCTCCGTTCGCTATGCCGTGATTCATCATCACCAGCCGCGCCTCGTTCATCGCTGTTCAATGCGCGCACGATTCAAGGGGTGGTAAGGCCGTGGGGTGTGGCCGTGGGGAGTGTGGGGCAGGAGGTGTGGGGCATGGGGTGTGGGGTGGGGCATTAGGTGTGAGCCAACCACGCCACAACAACAGCATGTGCACACACCCAATGTGCACGTTCCACATGTGCACCCCCTCTCCCTTCCCCATGTGTAACCTCCCCCCCGCCCCCCCCATGTGCACCCCAACCCCTTATGTGCACACCCCCATGTGCGCCCGTCCTCCCCAGGGGCAGCGCACCTGTGATGGCAGTGGACCAGAGGTTCTCGGGCATGGCGGCGAGCTCTGTGTAGTTCACGGGGATCCTCACGATGTCCTGTGGAGAGAGCGCCATGGATGATGGCGGGCAGTAGGAGAGAGGGGAGGAGGGGGGAAAGGAGTGGAGAGGAGAGGGAGGGGAAAGGGAGGAGAAGGAGGAGAGGAAGGGAGGTTTTCAGCAAGGCACGTACTTGCCGCCTTTTGAAAGCTTACAAACCAGGGGAAGGGATGCTGCCAGGAGCCCAGCCCAGCAAATGTTATGTTACCCATGGATGTACGCGTTCGTGCGCGAAAGCATTGATCAGTGAGCACAGTCTCAGAGAGTCTAGCCCGTATTCCATTCCACATGCCCCGTAGGAGCGAGCGGCGAGCAATCCCACATGCCGATGCCCCACGCGTACCTCCTCAGGGTATCCGTGGGCGAGAATGGCGGCCGTGATTCGCGCCTCCTCCGAGTCGTTCAGCATCTTGTTCATCACCCACACGCGCCGCAGCTCTGGCAGGTCCTTGGGCTCGTGCTGTAACGCGTACAGAGTGTTCAGGTACAGCTGCCCGTCGCACTGTAGCGGCGGCATGTCGTTGCCAATCATGCGGTAGAGGATGAAGCGCGGGGGAGATCCGCGCGCGGACGGGGAGGCGGGCTGTTCGCCCGCGAGGGGGAGGTGCGCAGAAGCTGCGGAAGCGGGCGGGGAGATTGGCGCGGAGGAGGACCCGCGGAAGAGGCATAGCGCGGTGAGGGTGACGGCGACAGCGGCCAGCGCGGAGATGGCGACGCGCGCAGCGCGGGATCTGAGGGCGTGCGGAGGGCGCGGGGGGGAGAGCGCGGGTGTCTTGGAGAATAACGCGAGGGAGGCGGAGGGGAGCGGGGGGAGGTCGGCGCAGGCGGACGAGGTGGCGCGCGGACGACCGGAAGACATGGCGGGATTGGCGGCCAAGGCGGGCGGGGGAATAGAAACGGAACGGGGGGTTGCGTCGCTGTTCGTCCTTCCCTTCCTTCTCCAGAAGGTTATCCTGAAAGCACTATCGCGGGACTCGAGAGGGCAGCGCAAGCGCGGCACACGTGGACAAGCGGTGTGCGTCGTGGATACGAGGCACGCGCTGCTGCTTGAGCGCGTTCAGACGAAGCTCTAATAAGACGTTTTAAGCTTTCGGAATGGTCCGCTCCGTGAGAGTAGGCTCTTGCCAACGTGTCTGAAGACAAGGAATCTTTGAAACTACCCCAGGCATTCCATTCTATGCACACAACATTGCGCCTCTTTTGTTCAGATTCGGCCTGCGTAATTAACGGCGCGAAAGCGCCGCCGTTGGAAGGTTTCGCCGCAGCGCCCTCGTGTGCGATACGTTTCGTCTCTAGTAGAGGAAGAAGCATCCGTGCGTACTATGGTAGATTGAGATTGTTAAAAGATGAAGGGTAAGTAGTAAGGAAAACACCTCGAAGGAAGAGGTAAGATTGAAGTTGAAGGAATTTTAGAGACTCCTTACTAGGCCGCTCAACATCGCGTACAAGACCAATCGTTCTTAGGCCTTTATAGTTAGCGTAGCTTTCGCATCATTTGCCAAACCATGCATCCCTGGCTCGGCCGAGTTGGCCGATTCGGCCTACACTTCGAGACTAGCCCGAACCTCGATGCAGCATCTCACTTGCTAACTCGCACGCACCGCATTACCGTTTGCATGTTTTGTTATATTCGCTCATGCCTTCGCTCATATTTTTAACTCGTTTGGCAACTTAGTGCAATCCTCGCTACCTCGCTACATTGCACCCCTAACAATTAGCTATCAAATCCACTTCATTTTACAAACCACGCGTTTCCGCAATGAGCAGAAACAAACTTTTGATTTTTCACTCAAAGGGACTCACGCCCCATAGTGTACTAGGACTCGTTGTCCTCGCGCTCTCTCGTAAGTGCGAACAGTCACGACTGTGCCTAGCACCTAGACCGGCCGCCGCCCTTCAACATGGGAGACTGCAATGAGATTGCGACACTAAGCACGAGCGCCTGGATGAGCTGACAGGCCAACTGCGTGAAAGCAGCAAAGAAATTGCAATGCTGACGGCATAACGTGAGTCATTCCAACGCGACATCAACCAGGCACAAGCACAAACGCTAACAGAGGCAACACCGGCACAGACAACACCATTCACACCTCACACGTGTGCGGCTAGTGATGGCATTGTTCGCGAAGAAGTGTTTGATGACCACGCAACGGCACACCCCGAGGCGGCGAACACATCAGGAGCTCAACGGCGTGTCCACATCACGACGCCAATGCCACTCAAGCCGCAGTGTCCGCCGTGCTTCGACCTGAGTCAGCAAGGTGGTTCTTCACCATGAACATATTTTTTTATGCGAACTACGTCCCGTCGGATGCGACGAATAATCGCTACGCCGTGTCATTACTGCGAGGACCCGCCATGGATAGGTGGCGTGTCATAATCACTAAGCCGACTGACTACGGGGCACTACTGCTACGGGAAGGACCAACTGGACCCTGGGCGCCATCGTATCTCGTGGAGGTAGCCCAGTATCACACATGGGATGCATGGTGCGTAGGTCTACGCACGAGGTTCGAGCCAAGCGGCGTAGATTTTTGTGCGTAAGAAGCTCCGCACTCGGTGCCACAGTTTCGTCCAGGACTACATCAACGAGTTTCTGGCACTATGCGAGAATGTGGGATACATGCACGAAGCTGAACGCATTGACCACTATGTCGACGGCCTGAAAAGCGACATCGCACAAGAAATCATTCTCCGCAACTTTACTGAATTCAACACATACTCGCTATTGCGGAAAAACTAGTTTTTCTCCGCCGACCAAGACCGGGGTCCTACAGTGTGAGAGTACGACGGCTTATGCCAGCCATGCATGCTTGCTTTTATCTTATTACGCTATTACTAGCTTAGGTTTATTTTATGCATGCATGAATCGGTTGATTTCCTAGGCTAGGTGCTTTCCTATATTTTATTATAGTTATAGCACCGAGCTAGGTTGCGTACACCGAATTCTAGGCTATTCGGTTGCCACCGAATTGCCTTCTACCGAATTCGGGAAGGGTCTGTTCGGGACGCTTCGCGACCCTCAGAACCTTCGCGTAACACCTGGTTACTGCCCCTTGTGTCGAGCCTATGTATAGCCTCGTGTTGTACCCAGGTGATCATTCAATTCAAACTCTCTTTTCTGAGCTCGATCCTAGATCCCCACACTCGGTAATCAGAGCCTGTTTACACGCGAGTTTTTCGACCGCTAAATCGTAGCTTTTAAAACCGCGGGTGCGACGACAAACACGCCGATTTCGGGTACGTAAACCAGTTCCGCGCTGTTTTTTAACGTCCCCCTCGAACCGGTTTTCGAACACTCCTCAGGTCCGTTGGCAAAAAAGTTGGAATTTCAGCCGTCGGGTCGATTCGAACATCAACGGCCTTGGAAGGGCTCTATAAACTGGAGGCTTATCACGGGCATCAGAGAATCACTTGCCACACCCAACCGACCGAGGGACATGTTGACACGGGTGTACAATTTCAATCTTCAAGTGGGGGAGAGATTGGCCTTCCTGGCGGACAAACCGATGTGTCCACACTGCGGGGGTGAGGAGACACTGGAACATTGTCTGTTCACCTGCCCGAAGATTCAGATGGTGGTGTCGGCGCTGAAGAAATCGCTCCGCCTCATCAACCCGCACCGCGAAACAGAGTCTCTGGGGGATCTGCTGTTCCGCAAGGCTGGTTCGCGCACTGCTTTTCCGGAGGCGACATTGATTGCAATTACGCTGCACCAGCTCTGGTTGGAGAGATGCGAGGCGGTCTTCCGGGGGAAGAAATTTCGTGCCCTAGCCTCGTAGCGCCCTCGTTAGCGCCCTCGCGCGCCCCTCGTTAGCGCCCTCGCGCGCCCCTTCGTTAGCGCCCTCGCGCGCCCCTCGTTAGCGCCCTCGCGCGCACCCTCGTTAGCGCCCTCGCGCGCCCCTTCGTTAGCGCCCTCGCGCGCCCCTTCGTTAGCGCCCTCGCGCGCCCCTTGCTAGCGCCCTCGCGCGCCCCTCACTAGCGCCCTCGCGCGCCCCTCGCCGAGCCGCCCGCTCGCAGCCCGCCCGCCCGCTCGCTGCCCGCTTCGCGGCCCGCTCGCTACGCAGCCCGCCCGCCCGCTCGCTGCCCGCTTCGCGGCCCGCTCGCTACGCAGCCCGCCCGCCCGCTCGCTGCCCGCTTCGCGGCCCGCCCGCTTCGCAGCCCGCTCGCTCGCTGCCCGCTTCGCGGCCCGCCCACTTCGCAGCCCGCCCGCCCGCTCGCTGCCCGCTTCGCGGCCCGCCCGCCTCGCAGCCCGCTCGCCCCGCTGCCCGCTTCGCGGCCCGCCCACTTCGCAGCCCGCCCGCCCGCTAGCTGCCCACTTCGCGGCCCGCCCGCATCGCAGCCCGCTCGCCCCGCTGCCCGCTTCGCAGCCCGCCCGCCCGCCCGCTGCCCGCTTCGCGGCCCGCCCGCCTCGCAGCGTCGCCCGCCCGCCGTGCTGCCCGCTTGCAGCGCCGCCTGCCCGCCGCGCTGCCCGCTTCCCGGCCCGTCCGCCGAGCTGCCCGCTCGCAGCGTCGCCCTCCCGTCGCGCTGACCGCTTGCAGCGCCGCCTGCCCGTAGCGCCAGCCTCGCCCGCTGCTCTCTATCCGTGCACAGTCGCCTTCCCCTGCTGCGGCAGCTTGCGTTACTCTGTCACACTGTCGCTATGGCTTCCATCCGCGTACTGTCGTTCGATGCTGAGGGCCGCCCTGTGCGGTTCACCGCTTGGCTAGATGACCTGCAGCTGTTCCTCCTGAGCGATAGCAAGGAGCATGTGTCGCTCTATGATTACGCGTCTGGTGCTGCGCCTGCCCCTCCTGCCACAGCTGAGCTTAGTGTTCGTTCCCACTGGCAGACTCGTGACGCAGCTGCTCGCCTAGCCATTCGCAGTCACCTGCCGTTAGCTGAGCTAGAGCATTTTGGCGACTGCAAATCCGCTAAGGCCCTGTACGACGCTGTCGTCGCTCGCTACTCCTCGCCTGCCACAGCCGAGCTTAGCCGCCTCATGCTGCCGTACCTGTTCCCCGATCTGTCCACCTTTACTACAGTCGCCGATCTTATCACCCACCTTCGCACTAGTGATGCTCGCCTGCGTGCCGCTCTTCCCACCGAGTTCTGCGCTAAGAACCCCCCTCCACTGTACTGGACACTCCACTTCATAGTCACCCGTCTCCCTGACACCCTCCGCTCAGTTCGAGACCACTTCCTTGCTCGCTGTCCCACTGAGCTCACAGTCGCCCTCCTAGAGGAGCACCTGCTCGCGGCCGAAAAGAGCATTGTAGCTGTCGGTGCTGCTCGTGGCGCTCCTCGCACCCCCATCTTTGAGGGGTGTTCTCCCTCTCCCCTCGCTCCCTCCTACGCTGCTGCTGCTGCTGTTGACTTCCTTGGTGCTGAGTCTGTTGGCGCTGCTTCTACTCCTGGTGGGAGGCGCCGCACCGGCAAGGGCAAGGGGGGCAAAAGTGGTGGTGGTGGCGCTGGGGGGGGAGGAGGTGGGGGAGGTGGGGGGGGAGGCGGTGCTGGAGGGAGCGGTGGCGGGAGCGCTGGTGGGAGTGGGGTCGGTGGTGGAGACGGGGGCGGCGGAGGAAGCAGTGGCAGTAGTGGCGGCGGCGGCGGTGGCGGCGGTGGCGGTGGTGGCGGTGGTGGCGGTGGCGGTCGGAGCGGTGGTAGTGGTGGCGGCGGAGGTCGGAGTGGAGGCACTGGCTCGGGCCAGAGCTCCCAGCAGCAGCAGCGTCCCCAGACGACCCAGCAGCTTCGTGAGTGGCTTGCTCAGCGTGGGACGTCGGGGGCCAGTGCCCGCTGTTCTTATGTCATTCGCACAGGTGACCGCAAGGGACAGACGTGTGGGAGGTTCCACACCCCGTACCGCTGCTTCTCCCGCCTTGA